AGTATAGATTAATTTTTTCATAAAAAAGGTTGGCTAAAATGAGTCGACCACATATGTTTAAAAGTTCAGTCAAAGTGATCCAATCACGTGAGTTTAGACAATTGCTCGTGAGTTTAGACAATTGCTCCAAACATTTAAAGATAAACATGACTTATATAGCCAAATGAACATTTTAATTTTCAAAGTGAACTCATATTTCTCTTATATACTTATTTTCCTCATTGACGTATCAATTTCCAATCAATGTGGATACCCAAAATCCATCCACAATGCAAGAAATTTAAAAATATTTGGTTTTAATGATGCCACTTTATTATTTTATAGCTTTCTTTTGTATTGATATATTAATTTTTTTTATATAGACAACTTTTTTGCAAATAGACGATTCGTCAAAACGAACAAACCCCATGAGTTTAGAGGGTTAGCCAACATGAACCAGTGATATGAGTTTATAGGATTAGTCAAGAGAACCCAACCACGTGAGTTAAAATAAAGACACATCAACTACCTCTTATATATCTACCATCAATTGTCGATCATTCATCTCTCCATCAATATGGGATACACAAACTCAACATCAACGTAAGAAATATATAATACTCAATCCTTAGGGTGACACATTATTTCTTGTGAATCTTACTTATATATAGAGAGAGCTCTATATATATAAAGATTTTTTATAAAGATGATTTTTTTGCAAACAAAGGGTTGGCCAAAATGAACCAACCCCATGAGTTTGGAGGGTTAGCCAACATGAGTTTACAGGATTAGCCAGGAGAATCAAAACCCATAAGTTAAAATAAAGACACATCAACCTCATCTCATATATCTACCATCAATTGTCAATCTTTTATCTCTCCATCAATGTGAGATACACAAAACTTAATCTCTATGCAAGAAATATAAAATACTCAATTCTTAGGGTGCCACATCATTTCTTGTGGATCTTACTTTTATATATAAAGAAGATTGATACATATACATACACACACACACACACATATATATATATATATATATTGAAGATTGTAAAAACAATTTATTTTTATATAATAAGATTTGTTTTGCAAAAGAGAGTCATCAAAATAAATTAACTTTATGAGTTAAGTCTCTTGAGTTGATGCAATAAATTTCATCCTTTTTTATATACATCTTTTTATTCCAATCTTCAATCTTTCATCAAAGAGTGATATCTCAAACTTCACTACAATTCACCAACACTTCAATATTTAATTCTCATGATTCACCTAATTACCTCTTGGTTATTCTTTTAATATACACACACACACACACACATATATATATATATATATAAGATTTGTTTTGAAAAAATAGGACCATCCAAATAAGATAACCTTATGACTCAAACCTCATGAGTTGACACAATATAAGATTTGTTTTAAAAAGATAGGGTCATCCAAATGAGATAGTTTTATGAGTCAAACCTCATGAGTTGAAACATTGACTCTCATCATTCTTTCTTATACACACTTCTTTATTTCAATCTTTCAATCTCTCACCAATGTGGGTTACCTCAAACTCAACCACAATTCATCAACACCTCAATACTCAATTCTCATGATGCCACCTAAATACTTTGGGTTCTTCTTTTAATAGATATATAGACTCTTGTATTTACTTTAATCTATTACATCACACCATGACAATCGTCACCACTATCGTCATTGTCGACTTCACCATCGCTGCCACCTACCACCATCACCAACACCTCCACTGTCGCCTCCACCAGTATCACCATTGCCTCTGTCACCACCACCACCACCACTGTCACTATTACCACCATCGTTGCTTCCCCCACATCACCGCTACCACCACCACCACTACCGACACTGCCTCTGACACCATGACCGCCCTCTCTGACGTCGCCACACTACCACCATTGTCTCTCACATTGTTTCTACCACAACCACCAATTCAGTCATATATGTATGTGTGTGTATATATATATACTATATTATAAATTAATCTATAAATATATGAAAATATCATGAAGGGGTATCTTGATAATTTATCACTATTTTATTATAATTACGAAGTTATACGAGCGATTGAAACAAACATATTCTAATTGTTTTGATAGATTTCATTTCAGTTCATACCAACTAAACACATAGTCAAATTCGATTAAATTTCATTCAAATTCATACAAATTCCAATTCATTCGACAAATTCTGATTCCGACAGGTTCAATTAGATGAACCAATTAAGTGGTAATTAACACCACTTAAGATTATTAATACTAGAATCGTTATCAATAACTTTTGTAAGATAATTAATTTGAAAAAAAATCTAATTGATATAATTACAATTATAACCACTTGAGATAGAATATTTTTTGATATTAAGAGGAAAAAGTATATATCTTTTATATTTATATTTTTATAAATTACTAGAAGGGTACCCGTGCAATGCAACAAAATACACATTGATTTTAATATTTTGTTTGTTCTTTGTCTTTATTGATATTATAATACGATTTAATGTGGTTTTGAGAAAAACGATAATATTTTTATTTTTTAATAAAATATAAATTTGAAGATATTATAAAAATTTGAAAAAAATACCAGTGTTAATATCAAGTCTCGTGTTTTTATGTAATTTGTTTAATTCAGAATTTTATTATAATTCAATTTGGATTTACTAACAAAGTAATTTATTTTCGGTTTAATAATATTATTTTAATAGAGATAATAATTAAGTATTATGTTAGAACTCAATGATTATCCTAATTATATCGTACATTTTTTATATTTAAAATGAGATATTTATCATGTATTTGATTACGTTTACCTACAATTAGTTACACGAATTCAAATATGAAATTTTAATAAACTTTAGTTATTTGTAATCTTGAATTTTAAGTACTATAAATCAATAGACAATACTTAATGTACAAAAAATAATTTTTAAAAGTTTTTAATAAATGTTTTATAATATACTAGAAGAGTACTCGTGCAATGCAGCAAAATATATCTCGATTTAATGTTTTGTTTTATTCCGTCTCTGTAGATGTTTTAATAATGTTTTTATGTGTTTTTGAGAAATGAATAATGATTTTATTTTTGAATTTAAATATATATTTAAAAATATCATAAAATTTTGAAAATAAATATATCAATATTAATATCAAATTAACCCTTCGGAAGCATCCATATAATAAAAGGTAGAAATTCTTTAGTAGCTTATTCAATCAAACAAAGTTCTTGTTTTTGGTGTAATTTCTTTAATTCATTTTTTATTATAATTTAATTTATATTTAATAACAAAATAAATTATTTTTTATTTAATAATATATACTTTTTTATAAAGATAATAAAAAATTATTTTATTAGAACTTAATGATTATTTTAATTATATTTTAGATTTTTTATATTTAAAATAAAATATTTATCTTGTATTTGATTATGATTATCTGTATTTAGTTATACGAATTCAAGCATTAAACTTTAATAAGTTATATTTACGTACAATTTATTTGTAACCTTGAATTTTAAGTATTATACATCAATAAACAATAGTTCAAACATAAAAAATAGTTTTTAAGAGTTTTTGTCAAATATTTCATAATATAGTATAGATTTAGATAAACATATTGTTAAGGGTGCGTTTGGTGCGCAGACAGGACAGGACATGACAGAACAGGACAGGACAGGACAGCTGTTCAGCGTTTGGTAAGACATGACAGGACAGGACAGAACTGATTAAAATGACCAATTTACCCCCTGAGCTGTTTAGTGTTAAAATGACCAATTTACCCTAATCACGATTCTTTCAATCGTCATCCATCTCGTTCTCTTCTCTGCTCCACATCCTCCTCGGACAACAACTTCCTCTTTGCAATCGATTTGCAAGCATAATGTTCACCCGTAGCTTTCTCTATACAAAGAAACGTAATGCCAAACTGCCCTTGTCCTAATTTCTTCCCCAAAGTGAAAAACTCCTTCCCCATTTCACCTCAATCTTTTCTCAAGAAACCCTTTTCCACTTTTAACATAAAGATCCAGTTTTCACCAGTTTGCTCAATGAAAAGTAAAGATCAAACTTCAATATAAAAAAAACCCCAAAAAAATAGTCAAACCCACTTCAATTGACTCCAAATTTGTCAAAATAAGATCATAATCTTAACTCAAACATGAACTGAAATCAGTCAAACCACCAAAAATCAAAAGCAGACTCAATTGATCCAATCCAATCCACAATCAATACGAACAACAATCAGATTTAATTCAACTAATCTAAACTAAATTCGAACATCGACTACCGATTAGTCACACCAAAAACTCAAAAAAAACTACAAGCATTTTATATACATCGATTGAAACGACCCCGAAATAGATGAAAGAGTAATCAAAAGTCTATCGCTAGAAACAAACAAACGTAGGGAGGGCGATAATGCGTACCTGAGTATGGAGAGAAGAGAAGCAACAGTCGGTCGCCGACAAGCAACAATCGTTTGGAACTCGCCGTCTCGATGAGATGGTCGCCGTCGATTGGAACTCGCTGGCAAGCAACAGTCGGTCGCCGTCGATTGGAACGGAGCCGGCAAGCAATAGTCGGTCGCCGTCGATGGGATGAACGGAGCCGGCAAGCAACAGTCGTAACTCGCCGTCGAGATGAGATGAACGGAGCCGGTCGCCGATTGATGAAGGAGAGGTTAGGGGTGCGATGGGTGGCGTCTTTGGAGGGTGCGATGTGGGGAAGAAAGGGGGAAGGGGTAGTGTGGTAAAAATGACCGTGTTCCACTTAGTTCCAGGGGTAAAGAGAGAACACGCCTGTCCCATGCTTGTCCAAGTTAGTTCCATTTAGTTCCACATTTAACCACACCAAACATAGGACAAACGTGTTCTGTCCTGTCCTGTCCTGTCCTGTCCTGTCCTGTACCACCTGTCCATTGTACCAAACGTTAATGTTGTATTTTTTTATTCATTTAAAAAAAAATGTAATCAATTGCCTTGTCTTGATTGATAATTGCTTGATGGTTTAAGAAGACAATATCGTTGATGCCAAAAGCCCCTTCACCGAAACCTATATCATCAACCCTCTTCTTCGATCTGAACATTATACTCTCAACAACTCATGCTTCCTTCAGCCCACAAGATCTCCTTCAAAACCCTTCCAATTGAACAATTCCCAATTCAATTTTATTTTCTGCTCAAATTTCATTGTTTCTTATGTGAAATATAACGGAGTTGGGATAGAAAAGGCAACAGGAAACTAAGGTTATACTTGAATTGGTGTCGAATGGCGTCCCAGGGATGGACGGATGCCTACAGGGGCATGTCCGCTGATAATATCAAGGGCTTGATATTGGCCTTGTCTTCGAGTTTGTTCATTGGTGCTAGCTTTATTGTGAAGAAAAAGGGTCTCATAAAAGCAGGCGCTTCTGGGACTAGGGCAGGTATTGACACACGCTTTTTGTACATCATCACTTGGTTGATTGCTTACTTATTTTTATATTCTTTTCTGATGGATGATCCTCTTTTATTTGACCTAAATAAATTTCTGCCAATACTATGATGGAAGCGTGGTGGGTTTTTCAACACCTGTGATTATTACTTCTGTTGACTTGAAATGGAAAAGGTCGGCATTGAATTTATCACACAGTTCTTTGATTAGGATAGTCAAAGATTGACTATGCAAACGTGTGATTTAATGATAGCGCACAAAAAAAATAGGGCTTTGTTAATTGGCCGCCAGAGGAGATTTTTGGCTTTACTTTTATAACGGTCTGACTTGAGCAATTACTGCTTTTGATCAGTGATGATATTTTTAGAAAGGAGAATCTAGTTTTATCTAATATACACATGGATCATCACTGGGATTCTTTATTGATGATAGTAAAAGGTTTCTATTTGGTAGATTTAAGCAAAGGAGGTGGTGTGAGTTGGGAATTGGGATTCTGACTCTAACTGAAATTTGTAGGTGTATCCTCTTATTTGCTCTTTTCTGATGATTCTATTGCAAGTTTCAGTGGATATTGCAATAGATCGAGTCCACTTCTGGATTCATGATATACCTTTAATAGGGTGATATGGTTGAGATCAAGATTGATGATTTGATCTTGAAAATTATGCCTCTTTGGTTGGTCTTGATGCGTTTTTCCTGATTTGAGATATCTGAAAGTTTGCCTGGGGGAAATCCATTTGGATTTTCTGAGGATTCATAGGCCAAAGAGCCCCTAGGCATGCAGAGTGGGTGGAGACTAGCATTTACTTCATTGACATTATGGTTATATTGATCAAGACTTTTCATCCAAGCTCCTGTATGATACCTCTTAAAACTTCCCTGTTTTTGTAGGATTAATTAATAGCTACTTAGCTGCCAAGGAGAAGAGTATTCATTATCGGTGGAATAAATATGAACGCATAGAATGGGTGGTGGGCCTAGGATGGCAAAGGATCTTGAAATAGGTCCTTCATGGTGATTAGTGCTTGAAGAGTATAGCTGGAGTCTTCTTCGGAGAGAACAAAGAAAGTTGGGAGAAAATATTCATACTTGGAGTGGATCATGGTGTTGGATTGGTATGTTTGATCATTAAGAGCTTTTAGAAAAGTGCATGAATGAATTGTGTTCCCCTGTTGAATTCATTTGGCACACTTTAACAGCACCACTTCCTAGACTAGTATGTTAGATTGTGAAGTTTAGTAGTACATCAGCAATCAACTACCACAAACAAATGTGAAGCTTCATTGGATCTTTTATTTACTTTAGAAGAAAGTCTGGTTGGGGTAGTTCCTTTCTGTGCAACACAAATTGCTCTCCTTGTTTGATTTATAGAATGTTCTGAACTCTTTAGAAGGATATTGTCTCTCATGCATTATTCCTTTCTTCATGAATTAAATACAGGGAGGTTGATGAGCTCTTTCAGTTACTTGACATCTCGAACTACTTTTGTTTTGATCCTCTCGGGAAGTACACCTAGCCTTTGAACCTTGTTTCACTGTTTTGTGGATATGGTTCTTTGCTTATTTGGTTCATTCCAATTATATTGTTCTCTTTTATTCGTCATAGGTTTAGTCAAATAGGAGGCTTTCTTGCCATCAGGTAGCTGTTGCAACTTTAAGTGCATGCTTCCTCATGCATTTCTTTTTATCTTCTTTCTAAGCATGCTTTATTGTGCAACTCATACCCGTATATTGTCCATGATACTGGTTCACATGGCTTCTGAAAGCACATGGTTGAATCTACTTCTTAAGTCAAGTTTATAGCAGGAATTTTTTGCACTTGACTTATATTTTTTATTGGCGCTTTTGAAGGAACAAATGGCCACATATACTTAGTTTTAGAAGACTTTTCATGTCTTGATATCTTTTAATGTTTGAGACTGCTTTTAGGGTGCCCAATTCTGATGTCAGCAGGATAAGAGAATTATTGCCTTCTCCATCTTGATGTATATGTGTAAATCAACTAAAGGATGTAGCTATGTGATGCCATGAATTCAGAGTGTTCTATCTTAGTATGCTTTTAGATATCATGCATTACATATATGTATATATTCGTAACATACACTTGGCTTTTGGCGTGCATTTGTTTTGCCTTCTATTAAGATATGCTCGTGATTGGTATCATAAATTTAGTCCGGCTAACATTTGACCTTTCTGTCAGGAGTTGGAGGATATTCATACTTATATGAGCCTCTATGGTGGGTAGGCATGACAACAAGTGAGTTTGCTTGTTTATTTCTGTTTGATGGCATATCTTTTACACTAATTTGATTAATGTGACAGGGATCTACGATGTTTATTTATTTTTCAATGTAAAGATTTGTATTAGGAGGCACAGCAAGGGGGTCGGATTCCTTAAAGTGCTTGGGATATAGGAAACAAAAATATCCTAGAACCTGAAATCTAATGAAGCCTCCTTTAAATCAAGGAAGCTGAATATGGTCTATCAAACACGTCAGAGAAGGCAAAAGAAACATGTATGAACAGTGTGGTTGTGGAATATTACTGAATTCCGTGAATTGTACAACCAAAAGTCTTATTGAACTCAGAATCAAGACTCCTTGACATCAAGTTAACCCAATGGCAATTAGGTTGCTTGATTGTTCCCTGCCTCTTTTATGTAAATACCTCTTAGAGAAACTCCAACCATGAAAACCATTTTAATTTTCAACCAACATCAAAATGGTGAAATTTTTAGCACCATAATACCATATTATTTTTCTATTCCACCCACAAATCTAAAACCAAAAAATATATCTTTAATATTTTTATGATATATTATTCTCTTTATTATTATATTATTTTATTAAATCGTAACAATTATAATATCTAATTAATTATTCTAGTAAAAGATATTATTATTTAATTTCCAATAATAATTTTGGTTATGGAACTTGCTAAATTATATTAATTACACGTGATTCACAATTAACTCAAAATAAACTAATTACTGAACTTATAAGCATAAATAAAATATATAAATTTAAAAAATATTAATATAAAAAAACTCAAATAAATTGAATATCATATTCATTAATGGGCTTGTTTTGAAGGTCTCAATGAGATTTTTGTAAAGATATATCTTATGGTATGTTATTTTTTTTTTACTTTTTATGTTAAATATTTAACGAATTATTATAAATGTTTAAAATAAAAATCATTAACCAAAGGGGTTAAAATGAAACATTTTAAGCTTTAGTGTAATGAATAGTGTTGCACCAAACTGTCTTGGTTGGAGATGGTTGTTTGCAGTTTAAACCAAATTTGCTGTTTTAGTGCTAACATTGGAGTTGCTCTTAATGCAACATTCTTGGTTCATGGGTATCCTTGCTAGGAGAGATCATCAAAGTATGCTATTGATTGGAAGCTGTATTATCTAAATTAGGAGGAACCCTATGCTCATTTGGAAATCTCATTTATTATAGGTGTCTAGGATTTCAGAAGCATCATCCTTTTGACAAACAACTATCCAATGTTGTCGAGGTTTTGGCATTAAAGCTTAATATTTTCTTTTCAACGACAATAAAGAAGGTACATAAATCAATTATGTAAGCTTCCATTGAGAGTCGTTGAGGAATGAAGAAGAATTAGAAAGAGAGGATGAATACTTGGCACAAGGCGAATACCCGCCTGGAAAATACTATGGCACCAAACTCTCTAGGCTCTAGCTAATTAGATATTTCATTTTCAACTCCAATAAGTTTTGAGCTGGAGATAATCATGCCCTCTATGCATGACAGTAATGTAAAATGTACTAAACGTGCTTAGGACATGAGCAAGACCAGGTACTACTTAAGAAATAACTTAAACCAACTGCTCCTATACTATAGAGTTGTACTTTGCTCTTTTATCCTTTGAGGCTTTTATAAAGTAAGTTATCCTTAAAACCATATTTACATTGAATGGTTTGGTGTTTTGATGATCCCTACCTTATTGACCGCAACTTCTGCATTTATTGTTGCCTTCATTGCTGCTCCTCCAGTATTGACCGCATATGTTACATTCTAACCTTCATTGCATCAACAGTGATTGTTGGAGAGATAGCTAATTTTGCAGCTTATGCGTTTGCACCAGCTATCCTTGTCACTCCTCTTGGGGCGCTCAGCATTATAATCAGGCATGACTGAAAATGATAATTTGTTTAAGTTCACCCCCAAAAGAAAAACACCCTTGGTTCTTTATGTGAAAGGTAAACATCATGCCATATTGCAGCGCTGTACTTGCGTATATTATTTTGCGGGAGAAGCTACATCTTTTTGGAGTTCTTGGTTGTGCTCTTTGTGTTGTCGGTTCCACCACAATCGTTCTACATGCTCCTCAGGAACGCCCGATTGAATCAGTGGCCGAAGTATGGGATCTTGCTACGGAGCCAGGTAACTATTTTCTTGAATGATCACTGTTTTCGATATTGACTTATTTAATTGTGATTGTGAATTCTATTTTTGTGTCTTTGTTATTATTTAGAGGGCATTATTTTGACATGTCCCTACTCCAACCAACATTTTTCCTTTCTGCAGCTTTTGTCCTATATGCAGTACTGGTGCTGATAGCTGTTTTTATAATAGTGTTCCACTATATCCCATTATATGGCCAGACACACATAATGTGCTATATTGGAGTATGTTCATTAGTAGGCTCTTTGTCGGTATGTACTATTAGTTAGGTGCATTTCTTCATATCTGCTTGCCTCAACATGGTGCCTCTATTTACCAAGTCCAATTCAAGGTTTCTTCTTTCACAGGTCATGAGCGTGAAAGCTGTTGGCATTGCTTTGAAGCTTACCTTTTCAGGAATCAATCAGCTACTATATCCTCAAACATGGGGTTTTACCTTCATTGTTCTCCTTTGTGTCATCACTCAAATGAATTATCTGAACAAGGTAATGACCCACTGTTTATAGCAAAATTTGTAATTTGTTTTGATTCATGTCTTTCTGTGGCGCATGTTAAACTGGGTTAAATATGAGAATTAGAAGCCATCTGGAATACACACACCAGATTCTTGGTTTTCCCACATCATATTTTTAGTATGAATTAGTGAATGGAACTAGTTTATTAGCCGCCCAGTTAAATATGAGAACCATAGTACGTACACTGCGATAGATTTAGCTTCATATGGGGTATATGATCAACATCAACAAGCTTTTAATCATAAACTGGTTGCGGTAGGCTGAAAATTAAACCCAACAGAAAGTCTATGTTGTTATACATCTGTCCTATGTTTTTCCACCACTGGTTTCCCAAACTTTTTTGTATTATCATCTCCAATCCTACCCCTCATATTGTTGCCACGTATTTCCCCCGCTTTTAGGTTACACTTAATCTTGTATGCGTGTTTTTTGGTGAATAGTGAGCCAACCTTCTGCCTAGCAGGTCTAGCCGTTATCCCATAGAACTTCTCTTTCAGCTTGAATGGGACTTTCTGATCACACAAGTCTCTTGAATCTTCTTGTCAGTTCATCCATGACACTTTTCCTATGACGAATATACTCATTAACTGCTTCATCGTTCTCAAATACGAAATCATAGGTGAAAGACAACCTTCCTAGCTACTTCATGTCTAGGGTACAGTGGATAAGGAAAAATACAGGTTGATACCAAATGTAAAAAAAATAAAAACGTTCAGTTTCATTTATTTAGTCAGAAAATTTCTAAGACATTACTTTCAATACATTGTTCTTTTTTATAAATATTCTCTTTGCTTATTGCATTTACCAACCCACATCGATGGATCACTAGGCACCTATGACTTGGATTGCTCCTCCCTCTGAGACTACCAGATGCAGTACAACACCAATGGATGCTTAGTTTCTTCGTGACTCCAGTTGTCCTTGTATTAAAAGTTGGTACTTTTGACAATTAAAAGGGTTTATCTTGTATGTAATGGATAGATAAAGCTGGGAGATACAAACTATTTATTCAGATTTGACATTATCTCTCTCTCTCTCTCTCTCTCATATTCAATATTTTTGTTGATCAGATAAAGTGCATATTATGACTTAATTTTCCTTTCAAATTTTGTTTCTTGGGGGATACATGTGCTTAACACTGATGAACATGTTTATTGAATGTATGCGTTGATGATAAATGGTGAACAAGTGCATCTTAGATGAGGACCCATGCTTAGGTACGTAGCAGTGTAGGTCATCTACTTGTCCACATATATTTCGATGTAATGGGATTGATGAGTCTTGGGTAGAGGTACGTGGGTAAGTGGTTGGTTGGTGTCTAGGCTTTCTTGTGTATTGGTAGAAAAGCTATATAAGAATGTAACTGGCTTCGTTGGCATTCCTTAACATATCAGCTCTATATGCCTTCCTATTTTCATCTATTCAAATTTGCAGCCACATCTATTTACATTATATATTGAAAGTTTTCAATTGATGTTCACTGTTTGATCATTGTATTTGAGTCATCCAATCTGTATCTTCTTTACTGTTATCTTCTATTAGAGTGCACATATGCAGATATGTTCTCTTTAATCCTTGTAGTTCCTGTCTTGCTCTTCTTCCTGCATTGTTTCTCATTCAAGTGCAGCCAAACAGTGACATTTGCTAACACTCCAATTTCTCAATGAAAATATTGGCTGCAGGCACTTGACACATTTAATACGGCTGTTGTCTCTCCCATATACTACACTATGTTCACATCTCTTACCATCTTGGCCAGTGTGATCATGTTCAAGGTATTATCTAAAGACAATTAATTTCTCTTATTTTCACAAAGATGAATGTTTAGGTTTTATCAACTTTGTAATTTCAATTAGATTGATAGGATCTAACAAGTTTTGCATATGGTATATATGATTTGTTTTTATGGCTTACCCTTCAAATCTGATCTCCATCTTCCACCATTTTTGTTTATTTTCTTCTTTGTTTCTTTCTTTCTACCACATGTAAAATGTACCTGAATGTAGATTTATCATGTTGGGAGTCTGGTCTATGGTGTTAGGGCAAGGGGTACATCTAATTTATGAAAATTTATTTTTGTGACCAGGACTGGGATGGGCAGAGTCCTACCCAGATTGTCACGGAACTGTGCGGATTTGTGACCATCCTCTCTGGGACCTTTCTTCTTCATAAAACCAAAGACATGGTTGACGGTATGCTTCTTTACCTATTCATGTCCATGATAATTTGATCTTAGAAGGTCTTCTAAATTTGTATCATGGCTGCCGTCATGGCAGCCATGAGGCATGTTGCAAGCAGTTCGACCAACTTGTAAGTGAGCCATGGTTGTGCACCATTCAGAAACACACAAAATTATGCTAGATCACATGATTAAAAATTTATTTTGAAGTAGAAAATCTTTAGCTAGTGTAAAAACACCAAAAATCATGAAACAACAGCGAAGTGAATAAACAAAAGACAGTCTTCACATGTGACCAACCGCAGACAACTGAACATAGCGGCGACAGAAAAATTAACCATCATACGTACAGGAAATTATTTTTTTGTACTAGTTTAGGGTGTTAAACCGAAAGGAAAATGAAACCTACATAAGTGATTAAGTGTGAAGAATCATCCATAATTAGTGAAAATTTGTTCTGTGCAAAGAAGATCTTAACAGATAATATTAAAGAGAGTCACAAATAAAGGTTATAAAATGGAGGCTGAATCAACTACATGAGCCATCGAAGAGAAGGTGAGAACATGCTAAAAGACTTGCTTGCAATTAAGTCATTTCTCTTTTATGATGCAATAAAGTATTAGTGGGCTCACAGCATAATGGATCCAAAAGGCATAATAGTTAAGATTTTAGTTTATTTAAAATAGACCCATATTGAAGTTGTCATGCCAAAATTTGCTGTGTATATGCGTGTTGGCTCCCTAGTGCATGCCATTTTCCCATTTTTGTGTCTTATCTGGCAAGAACCCACCTTCAAATTGAGTTGGGCCTCGCTCCATGATGTACACCTTGATAAAAATGCGGATATAAGGTCGTAATAAATCACTTACCTGTGAACATGCTTTATTCAGTTTAGAAAAAGTTATATGTAGCCTTAAAAGGATTCCTTTATATAGGTTCAAATTTTCAGTTTGCTTCTAAGGATCAAGAATTCTAGTGGGGTCATCATAAATATGGTGAAATAGGATTGGAGACATGGGGCTGTGAGTTGATTTTCCATATTGAAAAAAAATGTTAAGGTGTTGCTGCATAAACTTTTGGTAGCAGTCACTCGAATCATGCATGAAATAGTTGTATCATGTGAATATGTGTACTTCACAACATGCCCGCTTTGCTTACTGGATATTTGTGCAGTAATTGCTTGCATCCAGTAAAAAATTGTGACAAACAATTATATTGGGACATGTATTTAGGAGCTCCTCCTTCCTGTATAAAATACATTTCTCAAATCTTTCTCGAATACACGCTTAGAATTTCAAGTGATATTTTATCAAACATGCTTTTGAAACAAACTTTAATTAGGAATGGGACAAATAAACTTCTCAACTTAACTTCTAGTCTTGTCCATCAAAACTCAAACGATGATGCATCTTTATTGGCCTAGCAGTATCCGGGCTTTTGGCTTCCGAGGAGGTCAGTGGTTCAAATCTCAAAAAAGTTGAGGAGGGTAGGTGGGTTTATTTGTCGCATTTGCTGTATATAAATATTATACTCTAACAAAGAGTATATTTTACACCCTCCATCCCAAAATATATGTCCATAATAAAAAAAGGCGCACAGTTTTAGAAATGTGTAATTATTACACTTTTTAATTAAATAAATGACAAATTTACCCTTGATGATAGGAGTAATGAGTTTCTCCATCTCATAATGAAGGGTAGAATTGGAAAGTAGACACTTATATATTTGAGAGCAGACATACTTATTTTAGGACTCTCTGCATTTCCTTGCATCTTTTCATTCTTTTTCTTCTTGATGGCTATCTTTCTACTATGCCACTTTTTTACACCCTTTGTGACTTGAAGGTCACGGGTTCACGTCACAAAAACAAACTTTTTTGCAACAAATGCAAGGCAACTGCCGCATACAAGGACTTCCCTCCTTAACCCTCCCAAAGTCGAGGAGTCTTGGTGCACTGGGGCGGCCCTTTAATCAGAAGGTGGGACTACTTAATACAACACATTCCAGTAGTCACTTTGCTTTTCCTTTTCCTATATTTTGGGTCTCCCTTTCTAGTCTTATCTGCTTGACGTTTCAATGCCCATGGAAATTTGACATTTAATCAACTACAGGTTCGACATCTTCACCAGGGCGACTACCCAAGCACATAACAGAGGAGGATGAGGAAGATGGCAGGAGGCAAGAAGGCATCCCTTTGAGACGGCAAGATCTAACCGCGTGAGATCTCCATAATCCATTTTTTGTGTCGATCTTGATTCTTCCCTGAGGTTAGATTCATACACCACACTCATATCACATTGTATTTTTACCAAACATTTGATGCATCCTCATATGGGTACAACAGGAAAGAAAGGAAATTTTTTCGTTGGCGAATTCTTTAGCTAGGAAGAAATCACTTTTGGGCAACTTTCTCATGTAAATGTAAGCACATTAGTTTATACAAAGGCATCATTTTTCTTTTATTTCATCTTGTAAGCTCATCTGGTTACATGTCTATTCTTTGCTGATTTCGATCTTCTTGTTAGGGGCGACTTACACAAGAAAATGGCAGATTCGTGGTTGATGTTTCGTGTATTCTAGGTTCAACTTCAGCCATTAATTATTAGGGTGCACAGTACATGGACCAGATTGGACAGGCAAGAGTGAGGTAAGGGGGGGGGGGGTGTTGGTGGAAAGATTGTGGAAGGTTTTTGGGCGTTACTTTTACACGAGTAATTTAATAATTTATCAATTTGGGTGGGACAAAAAGAATTGCATTTTTGTTCCACTATGTCCCGTTATGTCCTGTTCCAGTATAGTCTTGCGATCATGCCAAATGTGGGACAATAAGTTTTTGTGATGTAGGAAACTGCCATAATCATTCGTCGTGTTGGGGTCATCGACTTGTATTGCTTCCAAGTTTGAAGCAAGGTTGGTAACCACCCGACAGAAGGTTAAAGTTCTTGGTTTTTAACATTTTGTTAGCAACAAAACTGAAACCCTCAAATTATATAACTATGTGGGAAAATGAGGAAATTATTAAAAAAAAATTAAAATGGTTTTTTTGTCCGGTAATAAAAATTATGTAACATCCATATACCTCATTTAAGCTATGTAAGTAAAGAAAATGATGGTTAACCGATTTAAAATATAACAAGTTATCCATTGCTATAATAAGTCAAAAGTGCAAAATGTCTTGATGAAAAAATAATAATTTGAATGTACATCGTTGTAAAAAAAAAAAAATGAAAGACAATGTGATAATATGAAAATTTATAAAAGTAGGTTGCTATTTTATACATTTAGTTCTATTTTTTATCAGGAAAAAGACAAAAAAGAAAAAGTAAAAACCAAAGTGCCCCTCGAGTTAGCGATTTATTAATTGAAGTAAACCACGAGGATCATTGTCGTAACAAAATGAATACCACAAGGACCAGATCTATAATAAATGAAGTATAGTAGTCGTAATTTTCACCAAAACTTTGTTAGTCTATACTCAAAAGTCAATCATAAGATGACTGTATGTTTGAACATTTTGTCATGACATTCATTAAATGAAAAAGTTGTTCAATTTTTACGTTTATATTATGTTTTATGTTCCAATCAGACGTAATAATAACCTTAGTGTGAATTATTTTTATATGTCCCTGATCAAGTATTACGTTGGGTCTGGATTGGAATAATACGGTAGTGACTATCATATATAAAGATTCATCTGGAATACACATATGGATACAAAATAAGATCTTTTACATCGGATGTGACTCGTTGTAAGAACAATTCTTATGAGCATCGGAAGTGTTTGTTATGTGGTCATTGTACATGTAGTCCTTTGAATTGTGAACACATAGCTTGTTGTGTGTGTGTGCATACTTTGACGCTGGTTCTTATCATTTCGTAATAGGATGAGAGATTTGTAGTTGCGTATGTAATATATGGCATGGTAGTACTTGAATATATTAAGGGGGTGTTCAGAATTGCTTATAGAAACAACTTATTGACTTATTCCGGTGTGACACCGGTAATAAGTACTTTTGAGTGTTCGGATAAACAACTTATACCGGTGTCAAACCGGTAATAAGAAGTTTTTGAAGAAGTTAAATTCCTCTAACTTATAATAAGTTGATAAGTGCTTTTATAGAAAATCATAAGTTATTTCAAATAAGCAATCCCAAACACCCCCTAAGATATGATTTGTCCGCCCGTATGATAGGAGTATTATCTTTGGGCCTCTTGATTGAATGATAATGAGAAAATGCATGCATACTCAGATGATCAATATCAGGATATTGATATATGTGGAACTAAGAATCAGGGATCAGATATAACGGGGATGACATAAACCATGTCTCATGTCTAATCTAGACATCAAAGACAAAGGGACACAACATGGACACTAATGGTGATCACAAGTTTGTTGATTAGTTTAATCACAAACTTTATCATTTAAGTAACGATAATGCATTGCTAGATGTCGGTTTTTGTTTATGACTATAAACTAGAAGGGTACTCGCGCAATGCAACGAAATACATCTTGATTTTAATATTTTATTTTATTTTATTTTTTATCTCAGTCAATATTATAATATGGTCTTATGTGATTTTGAGAAAGCGATGATGTTTTTATTTTTGAATAAAATATAAATTTAAAGATATCATAAAAATTTGACAAAAATATATCGATATTAGTATCAAACTAACTACTTAAAATTCCTCATTTTTTGTGTAATTTTTAATTCATTTCCTTTATTATAATTTAATTTAGGTACAATAACGAAATAATTTATATTTGGTTTAATAATATAATCGTCTTATAAAGATAATAATTAATTATTTTGTTAAAACTTGATAATTATCCCAATTATATTTTAGATTTTTTATATATTTAAAATGAGATGTTTATCCTCTATTTGATTATGTTTATCCGCAGTTAGTTATACGAATTCAAACATCGAGCTTTAATAAGTTGTATTTATGCATAATTTACTTGTAATCTTGACTTTTAAGTAATATGTATCAATATACGGTACTTTGTGCATAACATATAGTTTTTAAGAGTTTTTATCAAATGCTTTATAATATAATATAGATATGTTTTATAATTATTGCAAACATGATAAGGATTCAATGTAATGTTGTTGAATTCAAAAGCTAAATAAATGAAATATTTAACTATTAAAGTTAAATTTAACGAGATATAAATAGAACGACGAAAATACAACTTCCAAATTTTCATGTGACGGAGAACGTGACTCAAATTCACTCATCTGGATATCATTGAGGTAGCAGTTTGAAGATTGTTGCTTGGGTTCCGAAACGACACCACATGTTGCTTAGGTAAAGGTAAAGTTCGAAGCAACCATCTTACTCCATTTCATATAGAATCCTAAAAGAATACGATTACTTTTGAATCGTTAAGAGGTTAAACTTGTTTGACAAAAAAAGTCTATCTTTTGATGTTTCTAAAACTCTCAAAATGATTTTGTATCATGTACCTTCCTTAACCATTCATCCCCCTAATTTCATTTTAAATAATTACCGAACAATTATATTTCATTTTGCACTATATCACGAGCCTCTTAATCATTCTGACCACTTAATCATTCTCCACCAAACCATATTTAATCACTTCTAAATATTAAAAACGAGTATAGTTTATCAATGGTCCTATATAATCGTTTTCACTTTTAGTGTTAGACTTGAATTTTTTTGCATAGTTGAATGGTTTTTGGGCTATTTATTTACCTCTTAATAGTTCCATTAAAAGGCAACATCTGAATTGCTAAGAGGTGAATTTTAGTTGAATGAGACTTTGTATTATCCTAACAATTACATATATTAATTAATGACTTAACAATCATATTAAATTCATGGTATTAAAAGACATCTGGTTTTTCAGATAGAGCTGGGTTCAAATAGCCCTTGTGCCTATGTTTTCTCTTCTCCTCCGAATTTGGGACATGAAACAAGACAAACTATCTGTATAAGAGTGATTTTTATTTAATACAGAACAATGTTTAATTGTGATATCAGTTATTGATAGATCTTTGTATCCTTTAATTTTAAACTAATTAGTTACGTCTTTTTATAACATCTGTTAATTTTTTTATATAAAACGTACTATTTACGTGATTTGAATAAACTTTAGGCTTTTCAACTCGTATTATGACCTTCAAAAAATTAAATTGATATCAATTAACAAAAAAACTGGACCTAAAACTTATGTTTTCGTAGTACCAAACTCAAATGTTTGGCCGTTAAACTACGGGGGTGTTTAGGATTGCTTATTTGAAACAACTTTTGTTTTTTTTACAAAACTATTTATCAACTTATTATAAGTTAGAATGTTTAATTTCTTTAAAAACTCCTTATTACCGGTTTGGCACCGGTATAAGTTGTTTATCCAAACACTTAAAAATACTTATTACGGGTGTTATACCAGAATAAATTAATAAGTTGTTTTTTTTATAAGCAATGCCAAACACCCCTAACTCATTGGAGTTCCGCTACGGTTTAATTCGGAAAATATAAGAAGAAAGTTATGCTAAAAGTCTAAAATGGAAGGGTATTTATGTAAATTAACCCTTTTTTGAAACCAGACAATAACACCATAGAGGTGTGTGGTGTGTTCCCATACCTATTAATGTCGGGAATCTTGTCTTTTTGAGATTTCCTGAGTCAACTCGGCCGAGTTACAAACTCATCTGAGTTAAACTGAGTTGAATCAATGGGTCCAAAGTAAAATACGATCGAGTATGTATTCATTTTTGGTGCTATAAAATATCACCTGCCAATATTTCTCTTAGCAAAACCTTCGTTCTTGGAACAGCACCATGATCACTTGTGGCGGTGGGAACGTCGGTGGTGGTGGCGACTGCCGTCACAACGATCGTGTTGACCGTCTTGGGCCTTTTTCGGCGTTTTAAATGGACTAGACTTTGAACCACATCCGCCCATATTGGAATCCGAAATCTTTCCATCTTGGTAACGATTTCCGTCATCGATGGACGTGATTCCTCATCTGACGAAACACATCGTGAAGCCAAAATAATCATATGTCTTATCGCACCTTCCATGTGGCGTGGCATATCGACCCTTTTGTCACATATTTCCATTATTCGGTTTTCTTCAATTAAACCCATCGACCATTCTACTATAGAAGCCGGAGCCCTAGAAACATCGATTGCTTTTGTTCCACTGATGATCTCCAACAACACCACCCCGAAGCTAAACACATCATTTTTAGTGCTTAGCTTACACGGGGTGGTGTAACAGGGATCCAAGTATCCAATAGTACCCGCAGGTAAACTCACCGAGTCAACTCGTTGACTCGGTGAAGTAGCACATACTGCGAGCCCAAAATCAGCGAGCCGAACGTTTGATTTGGAATCAAACAAAATATTCTCGGACTTGATGTCTCGATGGATGATCAAGGGCTTCGAGTCGTGGAGGAATCTCACCGCTCGGGCTATCTGGACCGCCATCCTGGTTCGTCTAGGCCATGATGGCGGAGGCGTGGTCAGATGGAGCGAGTCATGGAGCATGCCGCCAGGCATGTGCTCCATGACCAGGACTCTGTGACCGGTGGTGGAGTCATGGCTCGTCCCGAGCAGGTTGACGAGGAAGCGGTTGGGTGAGAGAGACGACAGGATACGAGCTTCGTTTTCGATGGTGGAAGTGTCTTGCAGGTTGCAAAGGCCTAAAGATGGTGTCTTAATGGCAACAGTTTGACCATCTGTGAGAGTGGCTTTGTAGATGCAGCCATGGCTTCCTTTGCCAATGAGATGAGTCCTTGAGTAGCTTTGAGTGGCTGCTTCAAGGTCTTCATGTCTGAACTCTTTCATGGAAGTCTGGATGCAAATACAGGTTCAAGAGAAGAAGATGACCAAAACAGTAATTTCACAAAGTTTGGTTTGGTTTCCATAAATATCCCAACATTGCTTTTGTTAAAGAAAAAGGTAAGGTTTTAAAGCAAAGTCTTTTTCTGAGATGCTGTTTCAGTTTTGGTTTCTTTTTCTGCTTTTTATTGATTTCCATGGTGGCACCACCACATTCTCTCTAATCCATATCTTTTTTGGGTTTTTTTTTATTTTATTAATATCAACCATTAAAACTTTATAATTTAATCAGTGTACTGTCCGATTGTTTTAGCTTGGGTTTCAAAAGTCAAAAGTACCTGGAGTTTGAATCCAATGAAGAATAAAAAATCTCTTTTATGGTCACGAAGGTTCAAATACAGTAAACTCGTTGAATTCTAGCAAAGAATTCCAATTCCTTCATCTTGGTTTTTAAGTCCATTATGTTTCATCCCACCATTGTTGTTACCATACGCCAGCAACCATCAATGTTACCACTATTGCCTTCATTCAATCATTCCCACCACCAATGTTGCCGTCACCATAGTCATCATCACCGCCACCACTACCACTACCACTACCACTACCACTACCATGAACCAGAAACCACCTTAGATTTAAAAAATAAGATTAATTTATAGAGTTTAATAAAATTTTAAATAGTTGTAAATAATTGATGCTTAATAAAGTCATTTTATAATATAAAAATAAAAGTATTAGTATAATATTGAAAAGATATATTATAATATTCCAAATTCTATTAAAGTTTGAATGATTAATTAATTACTGCATCCATAACAATTTATTATAAAATCATCAAACTTCCTTTATTTTTATATTTAATTATGATATTCAGTCTTAAATAACTTGTTATAATTTCAAGATTTGGCTTCGCTGTCACGTTAACTATGTGGTTCCACTCTAAAGCTTGGCTTCCGTTGTAACATGTTACGGTAAGTAACAACACGTTATTTTGTAAGACAATTTTTTTACTTTTTAAACACATATCTTGGAGGATAAATCATAATTATCTACGACACATGAGACTTTGGAGCCGTTTACTGAATGCTTACTTAATAAGTGCTTACCAAATAAATTTCCTTATCGGATGAACATGACAAGGGCAAAAAATCTTACACGGTAAGAACGATGAGAAGGATGGAGAGCCTTACCCGGTAAGTGAAGATTACGACTCTTACCCAGGTAAGCGCTTACCCTGTAAATTGTTGCATTTAATATGTTTTGATGTACTAAATTCTTACTCATCAAAATAAATTATGGTGTTAACTCTTATAAGTAAGCACTTACCGGGTAAAGATTTGGGTAAACAGCCCATTAAATAAACATTACAAGGAAACTTAAAAACAGAAATTCCAAATAGGTAAATTCTTACTCTCATTCTCGTACATGGAGGCTTGGACATGAATTCTTTGAAATTTGAAGAAAGTAGCGAGTAGAGACTCAAGAGATTTAATTCCAATTATGCACTCTTGATATCATCTTATTATAAGCTCGTTATATTTGATATAAGCAGTAATATGTATATATATGTCGTCTTGAAAAACGCCATTGCCTCACTGTAACTCGTACGTCTTGAGGCTTGACTTTGTCGTCACTTAAAACCTTGTTTTTTAGTGAAATAAAATTATACTAATTGGTGAAAAATCGTGTGAGAAGCGTAAAAAGAGATCTGGACCATTGATCATCTTTTATCTCAAACCCACCCATAATTCATGCTTGATACGGGGACCAATCCGGTGCATCTTGGTGCATTTCATCTCTGGTGTATCTCATCTTAATGTGCATCCAACGGTGGAGATTCCTTCTTATGTTTCTCACATTTAACTCTTCTTTTCACCGGAACTCAATCATATACTAATTTGGATCTAACAAATTAATTTATTGAAACTATAATCGAAAACCTCCTATTGATGCTTTTAAATTGCAAACATAACAATGAATAACTCTCGTATCTCATTGATAGTTTCTTAAGAAGACCCCCGACCCGACCTACAAAGAACATTGAAAACCATCGACAAAGGTCGATTATTGTTTGAAGACCTCAATAAAATCCTTTAAAATAAAAGACTGAGTATGAGTCAAGACAAAGCAGATTGAATATTCAAGATTCAAAACCTAGGGTGTTGCATATGGATATTTACAAAAAAAAAATCTGATATGATAAAAACCCAGTCAAAAGCAATCTGAAAGAGACCTAAATCTGTCTGGATATGTCAAGGTAAAGTAGGGAACTAGTACTTTCGGTCTGATCAGGTACAAAAGAAGTTTCACGTCATGATTTTGCCTGTTCCTAGAAAGTTTGGTTTAGTCCATTTAAAAGAAGAAATACCATAACAATTTTTTTTTTATTTATAGGCGTCTAAAATATCTAAGCGTCCTAATAAAATACTTTATAAGACTTAAGTTTATGAGACAAAATCAAAAAAATGTCATATATAAAAGTATTACGATATATTTATAAAACGTTTTTAGGCGTTTTAACTAGTGTTTTAGGACACTTTTAAAAAAAAGTGTCGTATTAATTATTTTATACTACACTATTTAAAAAGTGTCGTATAATTATGGTTCATAGGACAATTCTAAAAAATATTCTATAAGATAACTAATATGACAATTTATTTTAAAAGCATAGTAAAAAGTTTGTTAAAACATCAAAAAACGTCTTATAAACTTATTGTAACGTTTTTAGATAAGACACTACAATTTTGTCTTATACACTTATTTTCTATAAGGATTAAGTTATATTTATTTTGTTTCATAAATAATAAAATTACATTAAATGATTTTTTTTCGTATTAGATATAATGATTATTTAAAATCATAAACTAATGTAATTTTTTTCTAAAATTTATTTTAACAAATCCAAAATTTATAGTATATATCATAATCAATTTAAAAAACTCTTTTAATAAACATATTATATTATCTTAATTTTTCTTTACTATCTTCTTTGAATTAATATATTATATTATTAAATATTTGTTTTAATTGTATTATAAAATATCGTAATCGACTAATTTTTCAAGATGCTCTTTTTTGGTTGTTTTATATGTTTATCAATTAGTTTTTGTCAAACATGATTTGTCCATCAGTTAGATTATCATTTACCATCCAGCTTATCAACTAGTTTGCTAAACGTAGCCTTAGATATTTTAGGCATCGTACAAAGCTGATTTTGTTGTAGTAACAGACCAAAAACTAGTTAGATAGTGTGTGTGTGTGTGTATATCTATACTATATTATAAAACATTTGACTAAAACTCTTAAAAACTCTTAAACTCTTAAAACTCTTAAACCCGTTCATCCATAAACAATTCATCCCTATCCGATTTCATCCCATAACTGAATTCGTGTAACTAGCTGCAGATAAACACAATCAAATACATGATAAACATCTAATTTTAAATATAAAAAATCTAAAATATAATTATGATAATCATTGAGTTCTAACAAATTACTTAAG